GCTGTCTCCAGAGCAAGGCCACTGCACAGCTCCCTGTATCAGACCAGAAGCTTCCTGCAGGATAGGCTATGAATTGTCCTTTCAGGACTGCTCTGGTTGTATCCCACAGATTTTGATAACTTGTGTCTCCTTTATCATTTAGTTCAAAGAATCTTTTGATTTCCATCTTAACTTCCTCCTTAATCCAATAATCATTCAGCATGAGGTTGTTTAGTTTCCATGACTTTGTGTAGAGATGAGAGTTTCTGTTGGAGTTGATTTCTAATTTTATTCCACTGTGGTCTGAGAAGATGCATGGTGTAATTTCTGTTTTTTAAAATTTGTTGAGACATGCTTTGCAGCCTAGGATATAGTCAGTCTTAGAGAATGTCCCATGAGCTGATGAGACAAACATATATTCAGTGGTTTTGGGGTAGAGTGTTCTATAAATGTCAGTCAGTCCCGTTTGTTTTAGAGTTCTGTTTAAGTTCATTGTTTCTTTTCTGTTTGGAGGATCTGTCCTTTCTGTCGGAGGGTGTTGAGGGATGTTGACATCCCCAGCTAGTATGGTTCTGCTGTTTATCATTTTGTTTAGATCACAAGTAGAGTTTGCTTTATGAATCTGGGTGCACCTGAGTTAGGTGCATAAATATTTAGAATTGTGCTGTCTTCTTGTTGAATTGTACCCTTTACCATTATATAGTGACCCTCTTTGTCTTTCATTACCTTTCCTGATTTGAAGACTAAGTAATCTGAAATCAGAACTGCTATGCCAGTTTTCTTTTGGCTTCCATTTGCATGGAATATTGTTTTCCATCCCTTCACCTTGAGTCTGAATGCATCCTTGTGAGTTCCATATGTTTTAAGCAGACCAACATTTAAAAATTATTTTACTAAGGACCATAAAAATGATGGTCAGGATGAATGCTCATGAGGCAAACAACCAAGGAAAATATTCTGGAAGAGGTAACCCCTGATTTGAGTCTTAAAGGATGCTCAAGAGTTATTCACGAGAACTGAGGTTGAGAACTACTGTACAAATAGAACCAGCAGTATGTATAAAGCTAGAAGGCAAGAGACAACATAGCTGTGGAAGATCATGGTAAGAATTGCTGTTGACCCAATCACACAGAAGAAAGTATTGTTCATACTTGTAGATACAGAAAAACTTTCCTTATATGATTAAAGGTAGAACTTTGAGCATTCATATGGCCCCTCACCCTGCCTAATGCAACAAAAGCTACTGAGTTTGTGTGTGTTACCTGGCACAATCTTCACTGTGTATATACTACATTGACAACTGGATTTTAGCTATATCTCAATGAGAAATTAGGAAGACACTTGAGTGTTGGATCTATTCACTAAAATGCTTATTTTATATATGTCCTTGGTAATGCCTTTTTGCTAATTGAGTAGAGAATCTAAGTGAAAGTAACCTTGAATAAAATCTGAGTTCTATCAGTCTTTGAATGCAAACCAACCTCTTTGGTCTGACCTAGCTTAGTGGTATAATCTAGGAAATGAAAAAAGTACAGAATGGCATGTGGTGTACAGTGGGAGGGGTGGGAATTGAAGAGTAAGCAGGGGCAAGATCATGACAGAACTTATGAACTTTGGTGAGCAGGTCTTTATATTGGAGGTGGTGAGAAAGCCATGAAAAATTTTGAGGGATATGACCAGATTTTCATTTTAAAACAATCAATAATGGCACTGTAAGGAGGGATTCAATAAGGAAAGACAACATACATTATTGAGATTGCTGGTTTATTGACTGCCACTTTTCACTGGATATTAAACATATAAGGCTGCTCTAATGATGTAGGTGAGAGATGATGACCAGAATGTCTGTGGCAGTTGAGAGAGAGACATGGGAAAAGATGGTAGATACACAATCAGTAGTGTGGAAAGGGGAGAAGGAAAGAGAGGCATTCAGAAACACTCTAGAGTTTCTGTCTGGGCACCTGCATGATTTTATTCTCTGAGTTAGAACACCAGAAGTGAGGAGGTTTTGAAGGGAATATGTTAAGTTTGGAGGATGCATATGTATTCGAGAGACCATAGAATAAGTCCAACAGGCAACCATATAGCCAAATCTGGATATAAATGTAAATGTAGAAAATTCAAAGAATGACTTTACCCTGTGAATATGAAATATCAGATATACGTGTGCTTAAGGATATTAAGGAATAGGAAAGCATAGTGAGATGTAAACTAAAGTAATGTGTGAAGCAGAATTAAGAAGATGAAGGATATTCAAAACAAATAGACTTGTTACCATGAACAGATCTATTTTCTACAAATGTTTCTCATGAAATGAATACCTTTTTATGGTTAGAAAGTAAGGTGGTATTTTGAGCTATGGAGCCTGCTGGAAATTTTAATTGTTTAATAAAATACAGTTACTGGATATCCCAGCCTTCTGAGAACTAAATGAAACAAAAAGCCTGCTCCAAATACAGAAGGGACATAGCTCAACTTAGGCACTTGGCACAAGGTCATAGGGAATGTGATGTAAACATTTCTTTCTCTGCAAAGAAAATGCATCTAAGGAGAGTATGAAAAGTTTGTCTGAACACAACTGACATGTAATCACTGTGACTTCAAGCTAAATTTGTTGATCTGGAAAAAGTAGTACTGGCAGATTTCTTTTTTTTTTTTTCATTAATCAATGACCTAGCACGGAACAATGTATTGCTTATAGCAGCTGCCTAATCTTTGAAATGACAAGTCAGCTTAAAAACACTGCCTAAAATGGAAGTGTACATGATCTAGACCAGGGTTCCCATAAGCACATCTAGTAGGCATACAAACCATGCTTCTAATTCTTTATTGTACAATTTATAAGAAAATTAAAGGGAGAAATCTATGATTCCACTGCATCCAATGTATTTTATATGTGTGAATTTATATTGGCTAGGGCAAAGGGGCTATATATCATATTTAACACACACATATTTCTTTTTCACCAGTTAGAATATATATACAGGCCCATGCATACACACAGAAACACACAGATAACTGGTAACAGATGACTTTTTCACTAAAAAGATGGATACATCGTACGTATAACTTTAGGACAATCAAGTGAAAACAAATATCCAATCCCACTTTGAGATACAAAATAATATAACTCATCTGGTTACTGTTATCTTTTCTTCCAGCTTCTGAATACATGGGTTTCATTTATTTTTTGTCATGTGACACAGACTAAGCTTTTCTGAGTTTCTCCCATGAATGTACTTACAGAAAAGCAGTTACTAGAGATTTGATAGAAGGGAGATCGAGGTGGGTGAAGGTTCCTAAATGCTTTCATCTATCTGATCTACCGTATGCTGTGCCTAAAGTAAGAGCAATAAATTCACTAACTTTAAATGCCCTTTTGTTGTACAAGCAAATATAGAGATTAACTTTATACCAAAAAACAGAGCAGAACTACTTGAAGAAATACTGCCTCCTAGTAGTGAGATTATTTCATCTGTTTCGTAAAGCACTGGAGGATAGCATATTTAGTCATTATGCTATTCATCACAATTTAAAAAACAATTAGATATATGGTCCAGTAAATTTTAGTTTGATAATTAGTACTTCCAAAAAGTCATGTTATGAACCCTTATTTATAAACTTAATGTCTCTTATTAATAAAATACCAAAGAATATTTCCTCTGTGTAGTTAGTAGCAGTGCTTAGATTAAAAAACAAACTTTGACTTACTAGAAATCATCATTGTTGTTGTATTCCAAAAGTTCAAAAACCGTATATACAAATACTTCAGAGTGACAGGTGTGTTATAAGGCAGTAAGATATGATTATTTAATAACGTAGTAGTTCTGTTTCTGAGTTACTGAGTCCATACTTTTCACTCGGCAAAACAACAAAGAGACAACTTTTCATTAAATATTTTGGCACAGATAATCTAAAATCATAAATAATCAAAAATACTTTTCATTTGGTTTTACAATGTTGGGGTACATAAAATGTAATATATCTGCCTATCACTCTGTAAATTTATAAACTTCAAACAAAATAATGCACAGTAAAGAATCAGAAAATTATCAACCTTTTTCATTATGTGAAATTATTCCTTAATCTTTATTATTATCATTACAAAAAAGAATATTTTGCATAAGTTCAAATTTTCTATCCTATGCTTTGTGTTTAATTCCTTCTTTGAATTGGAAGAAATGAGGTATTTTATTTAAATTTCACACCGGGCTATGGGAATGCAGAGAATTAAAGTAATAAGGTAACAGATTGTGGCAACCTCACAACACACATTATTGAGATTGCTGGTTTATTGACTGTCACTTTTCACTGGATATTAAACATCTTGAAGGCTACAACTATATATTTTTAACTTATCCCACTTCCTCAACACAATTCTGACTGAATGTATGAATAAATGATGTTAACAAAAAGTTAAAAATAAAAATATAATTTAGATAGCTTTCATTAACTGTAAAATCTGAAAGGAGATCTGGAGTCATAGCATGTATGTTCAAATCTTACTTCATCACAAGTTATGTAACTTTGACTTCCACCTCAGTGAGGCTCAGTTTTCTCATCCAAAAAAAAGGGAGTAACATCTGATCTATGTATTTCAGAGTAGCCATAAAGGTAAAATGAGGTCAGGTACATGAAAGTCCTTTGTAAATACCAAAAAATGTTATTTGCTGTTATTTTACTGCATATACATATAGGAAATATACATATGAAATAAATTTTTAAGATGCAATGTAACAACTTACATTTAAAAATATACCATCTTTTCCCAAAAGAAAAGTAGCTTAACTCTTTTTAGCTTACAAACATACTCAAAACCATTCATCCACAAAACAACTTGCTTCCTTCAAGATACAGTCCCCAGATTTTTCTCTTCTCTAGTAAATACCATTGAAGAAATGTCGACATTTTATACACCCTCTTCCTCAATGCACTGAAATCTGACTCTGCCACCACTGCCTACAGAATAGCTTTAATACAGTTAAGCCATTGGTTTCGTCTCAGTTTTCACTTTATTTTATCCCTGTACATTTCTTTTTGAGTACTTCCCACACCTACACTGACTTCCACTAAACGACCATACCCTATTTTTTTTTCTTACTTCAATTGACTTACTTGTTTAGTTTCTTATTCTTCAAATGCAGGTGTTATATGAGGTTTCATCCTTGGACCTCCTTTTCTCTCACCCTAATTTCTGCCTAGATTATCCAACCTGCTACAGTAGAATCAAGCATTAACTCTGCATAGCCAACTTTCAAATGTGTGACTTTGTGTCAGGCTCCCTCCTAAGTTCTAGGTCTGTATTTCTAATGGTTGACCAAATATTTCCATCTGAACGCACTTCATTCTGTGTTAAGCGGGACTGACTATCCTTCCTTGTCCCAAACTGCCCCCCTCCCTTAATTGCCATTCTTGGTAGTTAGCCAAGCAGAAAGCAGTCATCAATGACTTCTCCACTCTTCCTTACCTTTTACATCCATTATCTAGTAAATAGGATTATTGATTCTAATTCCGAAATGTCTCTCTAATCCATTTACTTTCTTCTCCATTTTAATTTCCTCTGCCTTCATTGGATTTTCATTATTTCTTTTTTGAAATATTTTGATCATCTCTTATCTAGTCTTCTGCTTTGGTTTCACACGATTTGAATTCATCTGGTTAAATACAATGCCAAGGAAATGAACACACTCCCTAATTTTTTTTTTTTTTGATGCCTAGTCATCACCTGGAAAATAAACTCCAAACTCTTTGACATAGCATTTAAGACCCTTACTAATCTGTTTCCAACCTGTTTTTCCAGTCCTAACACCTGCCTACACCTTTCTCTATATATAACATGTTATGTACTTTCAGTTTCATGCCCTGGTTCATGGTATTCTCTCTACCTGTTATGGTTGTCTCTCATTTGTCAAAAGTCTATACATCTTTTGGACCTATGTGATAGCGGATTTTCTGTGTAATAACTTCTCTACTCTGCCTTCTGGGCAAAATTAACCACTACTCCTTCTGTACTCTTATACTGCTATTAAAGTTAAAGTTGTAGAAGTGTTTATCCCTTCCACTACATTAGACTCAAAGGGGAAAAGTCATTCGTTTTGATTCACCTATGCTTAACACAGCCTGACAAATAGAGAATAGTCAATAAATACTGAACTGAACAAACCTATTCTTGATTATGTAATAAATAGGTAGAACAAATCTTAAGAATAATCTTCATCTATAAAACATATATTATAAAACTATATCATACTGATTTTTTGTCAGTTATTGTTAGAATTAAATGAAAATCATTTGTCTTTAGATAATAATAAAAATATAACCTACAGGTAAATTATCCATTTTAATCCTTTTGGTTTTAAATAAATCAAACAGCTAAATTTCTCTTTTGCAGTCAGTTTGGAAGGAGGCAGGAAATATTTATGCAAGAATCCAGTCAAGCATCTGTAAAATACATAGAAATCAAATATGAGACCCTTATTAGTGTTATGAGAATATAAAGGTAAGAATCATAAAGTCTATTAAAGTTTTTTTTCATATTAAAGAACTAAAGACATTGTAAAGACTGAAATAATAATCATTCAGTTAAAAGCGACCTTCAGGAAAATTACATATATGCTAAAGGAGTAATGCTAAATCACTATCATAAAGTATTTTTGTATAGCTCTAACAAAACCATCTCTCATAAATATTATTTTAATGAAATTACACTCAATCTAGCTCTATGACTGTAGACCAGCTGTCAGCAAACTATTGGCCTGTGGGCCAAATCTAACCACTCATCTGTATTTGTTTTATAAATAAAGTTTTATTGGAACACAAACGTACTCATTTCTGTAGTATCAGTCTATTTTTGCTCTACAATGGCAGAGTTGAGTAGTTGAGACAGATACTCTATGTCCCACAAAGCCTAAAATATTTACCATCTGGCCCGTAAAAGAAAAATGTGATCAACTCCAGTTACAGATAATCAGTTGGAAAGCTAGTTGAAAACCAAGCCAATTTGTATATTGAAGATTACTTATTATTCTAGAATTAGAATATTTATGCAAATATTTATTCTCAAAAAAATGAAAGCTATAAGAATGTTATGATAGTAAATTTATAGATATCAATTACATAGTAGAGATAAGGAATATAAATACAGGACTTTTTAAAGACTAAATTATTTTATTTCTATAACTTTAACATAAGCCATCCTGATTATTTCTTATTAACTAGGAAAAGGAGTGGCTATTCTTCATAATAGAGTATTTACTAAAAATGAACTTGTCTACCACTATTGCATTGCTTAAAAAATAAAACTTAATTCTTCCTATAGGAATAAAGGTATAAAGTTAAATATAATTAATTATTTTAAAAAACGAAGGGAGGGAAAGACTGAAAGAGGAAAAAGGAAAGAAGGAAGGAGAGAGGGCCAGGGACAAGAGACAGAGAAAGAGACTAGAAAGAGAAGAGAACCAACTGTACCTCATTCTTTAATCGATATGAAGCCAATCTGTGTACCAAAATTAAGGCCATCTCGGACATGAGAAAAAAACTTGTCAGGATGGCAGGATGTACAGAGGTTGAGATCTTGGTTCTGGTCCTGAATATTCTGTGGAAGAATTCCTCCCCGTTCTAGAAGAATCCTTAAGATGAAGATATTTCAAAAGAAAGCAAGAGTTTATTTTACCAATAGCCAAAGCAATATGAAAAAAGTATGGATATTGGTATGAAAGAATTCTGGGAACGATCTTTTTGGAATAATGCAAACTGTTATTCACTTATAGAACATGGACTAGTCAGAAAGAAGTTTAATTTTATCACCATTTATCACCTAAGTTCGTAAATGAACTGTAAAACCTTCTATATTATCCTGCAGACGTGATTTGGTTTCAGAATTTTATAGTAAAATTCAAGTATTTATTTTTGAAGAAACTTCTAAAGTTAATAGGATACTAGACAAAATTCATTTGGTTCGGACAGAGCATACATTTTAGTCATCTGATCCTCCATCTCATTTCTTTCTACTAACCAATTTTTTTCACAGAAAACTTGCTTCTCCATAAACACTTCATGATATGAAATACGACTATAAACTAGCGATACCTGATTCCACAAGTCACATATAACAATCAATTTCAACCTTTCTACTTATGTACTAAATGAGGCAGAATCTGGGTAAGGTTTTGCTGACTGGAAATAGATACATGATTTAAATCAAACATCAATTTTCCTTTGTAGTAATGGCAAATAATTTTCAACAGATACTAATAGCAAAACTTCATAGATTCAAAAATGCAAGAAATTGTAAAAAACTTGAAAGTGATGGTATGTTTATATTATCTAATATTTTCCTAACAAATATATTCCTCTAGTTAATTAGAGCATAAGAATAATTTCAAAATATCAGCTTCCGGATAGTTTATTACATTTAGGAGGATTTAGCTGAGGAATGGTTGTGAAGTAAAGTACATGCCAACTTTTCTATATGAAGTTTAAGTATATCTCTTAAAAGTAAACTCCAGTGTTTCTTCCTTCACTTTTAAATCAATAAGAGATACCAGACAGGAACATTTCTGTTATTCAAACTTAAATGAAAATAGAGGTCATATTTAAAATGAGTTTTTGTGTACATGTATATGTCAGCTACTTAAATAACTGCTACCTGAATTTTTCTTAATGTTATTAATTGTTCTCCAAGAAAAATTTCATTTTAGGGCAATAGCAAAAACCAAACTTGCAGTTCCAGAATGAAATCAAACATACCTGGTGGCTTTACGGATGTCAACATAGGGATCTGGTGAGTCAAATAGTCGTACACATGCAGGATGAAGATTATGAAATACCTTTGCTGATTCCTTTGGAAGAGTAAAACAGCAAGGTCCTACTGATGGTCCAAGTATAACAACAATGTCCTCCAAACTGCAGCCATATTCTGCTATCATAGCATTCACTGTAGCCATAGCAACACCTAACAAAGTACCTTTCCAACCTGGTAAATAGGAAGTAAAAGAGATAAGGAAAGTTAAAATATAACAGAACTTCAGCTGAATTTATGTCTATCGTAAAAATGAGCAGATTTAGTTTGTACATTTTTCAAAGTCCAGAAATAATAAATGAACCATAAAATTAATTATTACATTATAGTGTGTCTTTTAAATGAGATATGTTATACAAGCACCTGACACAGAAGACACATTAATAGGAGTTTCCTTTCTTTTCCTTTTTAAAGATGTCCTATACTTATAGTTTTCTATAGTATTATAGCTTATTAGTCTTTTCTCTCACTTTTATTTTTCATATTTTAAAAAATTGTGATAAAACACAAAAAATTTACCATTTAACTGTTTTAAGTTTTAAGTTCAGAAGCATTAAATTCATATTGTTGTATAATCACTCTCCAGAATGTTTTCATATTATAAAATTGAAACTCTATAACTACTAAACAATAACTCCCTGTTTCTCCTTTTCCCCAGCCCTTGGCAACTACCATTCTTCTTCTAGTTCCTATGAATTTGATTACTGTAGGGACCTTATATAAGTGAAATCAATATAGTATTTGACTTTTTGTGACAGGCTTATTTCACTTAGCCTAATGTCCTCAAGGTTCATCTGTATTACAGCATGTATTGGAATTTCATGCCTTTTTAAGGCTACATGATATTCCATTGTAGGTATTATATAAACTATATTTTGCTTATCCATTCATCTATCAATGAACACTTGGGTTGTTTCCACTTTTGGCTATGGTGAATGCTGTTATCAACATGGGTGTGCAAATATCTTTTTGAATTCCTGTTTTCAATTCTTTTGCATATAAACCCACTAGGGAAATTTTTGGCTCATATGGTAATTCTATTTATAAATTTTTGATGAATCATATTGTTTTCTTTAGTGGCTATACTATTTCACATTCCCACTACCAGTACGCCAGTGTTCCAATTTCTCTACTTCCTCAACAACACTTACTATTTTCTGGGTTTTTTAAATATTAGTCATCTTAATGGATATGAGAAAATATCTCATTGTGGTTTTGATTTGTATTTTCCTAATTTCCAACCCATTAACATGGGATTTCTCTTCATCTATTTGTGTCTTCTTTAATTTCTTTCAGCAATGTTTTGTAGTTTTCATCTCTCCTTCACTTTTTACACTAAAATATAAGTGTTATGTTTCAATTAATAGTCCCCTTTCACACCCTTCCCCTTTGCTTAGACTATCATTCCCTTGCCAGTTTTGTCTCCTCTGCACTGGACCCCATGGAGTTCCAAGATAAAATAATTTTCTTTATTCCTGCTCCCATCAAGTTGCCAAAGACAGAAAGCTAAGAATATTGCATTTCTCCTTTATTCCCTGTATCTGAGTTTGATTCAGCTGATCTGGTTGGCCAATAAGGAGTACCTTTACTCCTTCCCTCAATACTGCATACACATACCCTTCTAAATCTAGGCACTCAGGCAAAGAGATCAATCTTCCCAGATAAAGGGAGGAGATGACCAAAGCAAAAAGTACTTAGGTTACAGGCCCAACCTCTACTGGTAACCCATTGGATATGTGGCTATGGGAAGAACAGAAGGAAAAGATCAAGTTGCTAGCTGAGTCTGTAAGTGGGTGGGATATTAATAATCAAAACAGGAAACCTAAGTGGTAGAGAAGGATTTAGGAAAAAAATATTGAGTTTTTGGCACAATGATTTTGAGGCACCTATGAATATGTAATCAGTGATGTTCATAGGGAAGCAACTAGATATAGGAATTTTGAGCTAAAGAGAAATATTGTCAGGGATTTTCTATAGATAAGAGTAGCTCTCTTCCTCAGAGATCTTCCTTAATTATTCTTTCACCTACAATTCTTCTACTTCCTATTTGATTTTTTTCCTACAGCAAATGTATAGGCATATATATGGTTAAAAGATTTTCATTCAATTAGTCCCATAGGATCTTATACTTGTTATATCTGATAAAATAACAAGTATATAGTGTATCTAATTATATTCTATTTCAAAGTTAATTTATTGACTTGAAAATTCACATTTATAACTTCATTTTTACTGTTTTATCTTGGATATTTTTAAATAAATGTTTTAAAGCCTAAGAAGTAATAAATAATATTCCCCTTTTATATCCAAGAGCCAAGACTAAAGTTTTAAATAACTTTTTGACAATTTCTTTTAGTAAACTTGATTTCTCATGCAATTCTATTACTTCAGCTAGTCAAAAAAAAAATATGCTTCTTTTTTTTTCCTATGGACTAAAAAGGAAAGTAGTCATAGATTTACAAGTAGAAGAAATTTCTAAAGATCATCCCACATTTCATATAGAATCATAACCACTAGATAATCTAAATATTATTTTAAAAGACCTTCAGAAAATAAAATACCATAACCTTAACACAATAGAGATTCAAAAAACACTTCTTTGCTCTTATCTTCAGAAAACAGTTACAGTTAAATAAACTGAGTTAGTTACACTAATTTTCGGTTTTCAAAACATCTTGCTTTTTTTAAATCCCTACCTTTACACATGCTGCTCCATCTGTGTGAACACCTTCTTGCAATATGCCTAACATTCCTATTTCTCTGTTGCCATAGCCTGGATTTCAAGGATTCTCAACCAGAGGCAGTACCACTGCCCCAGGGAGTGTTTTGGAAAAGCATGGAGGTGTTCGTTGTTGTTGTTTGGTTGATTTGTTTGTTTTGGTTTTTACTAAAACTGGAGATGCTACTGACATTAAGAATTTTGAGGGCCAAAGATACTTAATCTGTAATATTAGATTACCTTGCCTAAAATGTTAATGGCACCCTTGCTGAGAAACACTGGTACCTAGCCAAATCCAACAAATTCCTCAGCAATCAACCTAGGTACTTCCTTCTTTGAGAATGATGGTATGATTCATATAATTTGACTTGGATACTCCTTTTATTGGCCCCTATAATAACAGTACGCTGGCCCCACCTCATCATTATATTTATCACAATGTAATATAATTAACTGTCATGCTCACCAGAAATTATAATTTTTTCCTGTACTACAAAATTAGTAAAATCCTAAATGCTTAATTAAGCATACTTACCAGAGTGAGCAACCCCACATGCTTTTTTGACAGGATCTGCAAAAACTATTGGTATACAGTCAGCACCAAGAGCTGCTATTGTGACTCCTCTCTGATTTGTGGTTATTCCATCATAAGATTCAGGCTCCTTCCTTCCCATAATCCAGACGTCATTGGCATGATCAGTCTAATTAATACCAAAGATGTTCAATGAAAATGTTTTGAAAGTAGGATTTCTTCTACTATAAGCTTTTCTGAAAGTATTCATTTTAGTACAAAATTATATGACCAGTGTAAGATTACTGGCATTCATTAAATGTACCACTTGTACATATGGTAAAATACCAAATTTACTTATTTAACTTTTTAAGCTTTTGGTATTATAATCTCTGCATATTTCTTCAAAGAAAAGCAGGCTTTAACATTACAAAATTCAATATAGTCTATCATCATGAATACTTTTCATTACAGATGGATAAATCTCTCCTTCTAGCACTTTCTACAAAATGAAAATTTAACTTTCTTATTAAAGAAAATGAATTACCAAATTAATGTCATTTTTATTTTTGCTAGACTCAAGTAAAGCTAGAATTCTGTAAGGAACAAGACATTATGTCATCAGTTATGACCCTAGTTCCTCCTAGTGTTGAGTTAGAAAATAATGGCCTTTCTATTCTACCATTCACCACCCTTCTAAATCAGAAAGGGAAGTGGCGCTATATTCTCTGAGAATTAACTGTACTTTTAGAATTGAGGACTCTAGATGAAATATACAGCACATCCTTGAATAATTTTCTTTCATTTGACATCAAATCATTATAACGTTTATGAGGAAAAAAGATTAATTCCCCATTTAGGTCACTGTCTGGGTGCAGTCTGTACATTCTCCTCATGTCTGTATGGGTTTTTTCTCTGGTTTCCTCCCACATCCCAAAGATGTGCATGTTAGATTAACTGGCATGCCTACGTGGTCCCCATGTGAGTGAGTGTGGGTGTGTGTGTGTGAGTGCAACCTATGATGGAATGGTGTCCTGTCCACAGTTGGGCCCTGAGTTGCCAGGACAGGCTCTAGCAACCCTGAACTGGAATAATTGGGTAAACTGTTATCTTACTTGATTTTATTAATCTTTCTTAATGTAGGCATAGCTCCTATTTATTTTAGCGTTTAATATTAGAAATGTTTAGTCTTTATTTAGAAGTTTGGTGATGTTTGGTGACCAGAAATATGCTGTAAGAACTTAATTCTTTTTTATATCAATTAGCCTACAGTAAAATTGGTTTCATTATAAGTCATTTTGCTTAAAGTTACAGTTTCCAAGAACTTGTCAATGGTGTTGAGAACTTATTGTATATATATATATATATATATATATATATATAATTAATTTAAGAAAAACAACAACAAGGTTATGATGTATAAATCTAAGAAAAACAGCTACAACATTATCCTAAAATTTTAGATAAAACACGAGATGCAAAAGTTAAATAGCTTAATTAAAGTCCATGTAATTACCAGCAGAGTCAACAATATGCTTTAGATCTTCCAAAATATGAAGCAAAATCTTACCTTTATTCGGTAAAATTTCTCAATATTAAATCCCGCAGCGTTCGCCAACCTACGCAGATTTTCTTGAACAACTGCCTTGGGATCTCTCCGTTTGGAACTACTGAAGAGATTGAATGAGCTAAGAGTTGGTATATAAGATATCCCACCTGTTCTTGTAGTAAATCCATGTATGAAAATATCTGTTGAAGATAAGTAGTAAAGATTAAAAAGATGCTATACAAGACTATAAAGCATTATAAAACCCAGTCTCTCAATTAAGACCTTCCCGGATCACTTCAACCTACTCTTGTTTATCTGGCTTCTAATTTTGACATCATTTCCTACCTCAAGATGTTCTTATTAAATTCTGCTTTGTTTGTTTTAACATCCTTATGGCGTTATTGTTCTTCAAGGGGTTTCTTATCCTATCTGTCCCATGCTGTTATACCCAACAGCAAATAGCTCATAATAAATACTATTTAGCAAAGAAGTAAGATTGTTTTAAATTTCACTCTTCTATGAAGGTGCCAATGAGTTGAAGTTTCAGAATTTCTAAATAAATTTTCAGGGTCATAAATCTCATTGTAAATGAGGTGGGTGGTGAGGGGGTGTCTTAAACGTTAATTTGCATAAAGCAAATTTATTTGTTTAGGGTGGCTTAGAAGGGGTTATACCTTGATACCCCTGATACCACAAAGCCATCTATGACACCTCTATGTTGCAACTGATTCTAATATGCAATAAGCCCAAAACAGTCAATAAAAGAAATAAGAAAAATAAGAGGTGAACAACCTCTAAGGAAAGACTACATCTTCATGTACACAGTAAAACCAACAAATAGCATTTAATATACCTGGGATCAAAGGAGAAGTGATAATAGTTAATTCTCCTTTCAGTGCTGGCAGACTTCTCAAATATGTTTCTATTTCATTCTGGATTTCTTTCAGTTCTTGAGCTGTGATTATGTTTATTTCAGTGGATTGTTTCAAAAGGTCTCCCCTCAAAGTCACTTGTAAATCTTCAAATTCAAAACTATAAACATCAGTGAAGAGTTGATCAATAAAAGCTTTCATTAATGTTTTCCTGTGCCTAGGTACAATTACCTTAATGCTGCTCAGATTTTTTTCATCTATTTTTTGTTTAATGGTGTACAAAGAGGCAGCCATGCTGGGATTGCTAACAGTCTCAAATTCTCCCAAGACAGCTGATAATCCATTGCTTGTTTCTAATTCATAATTATCATGTTTACCATCCCTTTCACAGCTGATGTTACTGCACCACATTACACAAAGGAACTTAGCCTTAGTAGCATGGTGGTATTGGACAGCATTCAATGTCTTCAGTAATGCCTGATGGCAGTTGTTTTCAGAGTTCAACTTCAAACCAAAGAGATCAATCAAAACCACTTCTGCCATCCTTCAAAGAAGGTTTTTATGCTAAATAAATCACCTGCAAAGAAAAATTAGTGTAAGTAAAAGCACAAAATTAAATCAATCTCATAGTTACAATAGAAATTTGTGGTGGATAAAAAAAGAATTACATTGATCTAAAAATATAACCAAAATAGTAAATCTAGACCCCCCTCCCAAAAAAGCTAGTCTACTATTTGTCATAATAGAACCATGCCAATTAAAATAAATCCATCTTTTAATTCTTCTTGTGAAAGTGTTGGAACATCTTTCCAGCAGAACAACAGTTCCTCTGTTTTGTTTATATAGCAAATTTTTTTTTAAGTTGTCACTTTTTTTAGCATATTATGGGGGTACAAGTGTTAAGGTTATTTATATTGCCCATGCCCCCCTCCCACCTCGAGTAAGAGCTTCAAGCATGCCCATCCCCCAAACGTTGCACATCTTACTCGTTGTGGTTGTATATACCCCTTCCCTCTTCCCCTCAACCACTCTCCTGACACCCGATAAATCTTACTCCTAGTACAGAATTACTTGTTGATTTAGAGAAAGTCCTGTTTTCTAAGTACAGGGTGTCAATCTGTATGATATACCATTAATCCTGATATGACTCATATTAGGTCACATCCCTTCCTATGCAGGGACTTAGGTTCATAAGGTTAAACGGAGCTGCACCTGAAGAGCGCATTTCAAGGAGATAAAAGCTGAGATGACTCATAGACTTCCCTTCAGAACTGACATAGTACTCCTCACTTCGCAATGTTCACAAAAGCCACTGCGATCTGGAGGAGACGGAGCTTCCTACCGACTTCTTAATTCATTCCCCCTGAGTCCCAGCCCTCCCACCCCAGGCTGCGGCTCTCTCTGTGGCGACCCCTTTAGGCGACGCCATTTGTCCCCGACCGTGTCCTCCTGCAGCCTCTTATAACCTCCGCTCCCCCTCGTACGGGGTTCCTACCGAAGGTCACTTTGCCAGATTTGAGTGAGTGACCGCCCTCCTTCCCCCCTGTGCATCGTGAATTTCCACACACCGTGTGTCCCAGCCGGGTCCCTGTTCCTCCACCTCGCGCTGGGCTCAGAGGGGCGCAGGCTGCGGCTCTGCACCTGCCGTGCACCTCCACCCGCCACCCACCGCCCCTGTGGGACTCTCCGAGGGACAGGCGCACACCAGAGGCGGATTCCCCAGTCCTCGCCTCCTCACGCTCCACATTCCATTGCATGCCCCGTCTGTGGCTATCTCTGTGGCGGTCCCCGCCCCGTCCTGCGCCTTCCTCAACAAAACTGGGAAGCCTCAAGCGTGTCACCTGGAGTCTCAAGCCCGTCTGCGTGGCGACCACACCCGCCCCGCCTCCCCTCACCTACCTGACCACGGCTGGACGGATCCCCGCGCCTGGCACGGACGTTGGCTCCCTGTGGAAACCCGAAGGCTGAGGCCCCGCAGTAGGCGTGAGGAGTACAAGTCTCCGCGCTGGGCAGCCGGGGCGCGCGCCGTGCACACGCGGCGGCCGAGCGCGAGCGCGAGCGCGAGCGGGGGGAAGCCCGGGATGTGCTAAGCGCAGCGCGCCCGCCGCTGCCTCCGCAGTTCCGGGTCTGGGCGGTTCGCGGAGCCCGCAGTCGAGCTGAGGGAAGAGGAACGGGAAGCAGAGCAGCGTAAGGGCCCTCTGGCCGGCTCCAGGCAGGAGCAGGCAGGCCGGGCCGGGAAACGGGTCGTTGGGCAGAAGGCGCCTCAGGCTGGGGGAAATGAAGGGGCGAGCGACGGGGCGGCGGGCTACGGGCCGTGTGAGGTGGGCTTGAGGCGGCGCGGGCGGCGGCCCCGTGATGGTGGCAGGGAAGGTGGCGGAGGGCCGGGTGACGGCGAGGGGGTGGCGCGTGGGGGGGTCCCCGTGAGACGGGGCCGCTGGAGCGACCTCGGGACTAAACCGCTGCCTCCCTTCTGGGAAGGGAAGCCCTCTCCAGAGCGCACTGGAAGTCCGCTCTTCCGGTCACTTGTGGACGATTCGCTGACACAGTAGTGTGATCGCGACGCTTGGTTTAACCACCACAGCCCGGGCCTTGTCACGCTAGCACTGGTAACTTGCCCCATCCAGGGTTCAAATAATGGGCTCCCTTGGGAAGAAGTTTTGCGTGTTTTTTTTTTTTTTTCTTCGTTTGTTTCCAGAAACAAGCTGGTTTAATTTCTTCCTTTGGCTTTTTGCTGATTCAGCCTTCCTTGCCCATAGGACCAACACTCATTACTTACAGTTCCTTCACTCACTTGAATTGACAGCACAGATGTCCTCTATGTCTTGTTTTTCTTTTCTTTTCTTTTCTTTTCTTTTCTTTTCTTTTCTTTTCTTTTCTTTTCTTTTCTTTTCTTTTCTTTTCTTTTCTTTCTTTGTCTCTTTCTTTCTCTCTCTCTCTCTCCTTCCTTCCTTTCCTTCTCCTTCCTTTCTTTTCTTTCTTTCTTTTTTTTTTAGACAGAGCCTTCCTTGCTCTGTCACTCGCCCGGGCTAGGATGCAGTGGCATCATACTTCACAACAACCTCAAACTCCTGGGCTCATGTGACCTTCCTATCTCAGACTCCAGAGTAGCTGGGACTACAGGCGCAGGCCGCCACGCCTCTATTTTTTTGTAGACACAGGGCCTCACTCTTTGGTCTCAAACTCCTGGCCTCATGCAGTCCTCTGGCCTAGGCCTCCCAAAGTGTTAAGAGTACAAGTGTGGGCCATCGCACCTGGCCTCTATGTTCCTTTTTAAATATGTGCCACTGAAAGGACAGTAGAAGGCACTAATCCCTAGAATTATGGTAAAGGTACAATTTAGCATCCCTCATCTGTCCTTCAACAGAATGACATTTATTTATTTAAAACTATTGAGCAGTTACTATGTAGAAGGCAGGTGTTAAGGGGAAATGGGCAAAAATATCCACCCTTTGAAGAGTAAGGGAAAGGAGGCTTCCTGTGGAACTGGTTATGATGGAAGTAGAGGTCCCTTTTATCTCTGTTGTTGCTCATGTGGTAAGTACTGAAGAACATTTATTTGAGAATCTTGAATATCTGGGAGTTTAGAAGAGTCCTTGGAAGTGAGCATATTCTTGTGCTTGACTAGAGAATGGGAGCACCAACCTAAAATGGGAACCTACTATGCAATATCCCTGGCAACTGTTTATATCAAATTTCTATTTTCTATGTAGATGGTACACCCAATTAGACAGTGTGCTCTCTGCCTTGAGCTTGTTTTATGTTAAATATTACCTCAACCAAAATAGAGGACTTTTAGTTACAAAGCAGGATTAAAACATTTATCTCTGTTTTTTCAGACACGGGGGTGGGGGGGTGAGGGGGGAGGGGGATTCATATTCTTCGTGCAGCAGTAGTGGCAATAAAAAGCGAAAAAGAAAATATCTCCAAATAGTGAAGCTGTCAGGGAAGAGAGAGTTTTTTATATTGTATTTGCATACCATTTCCTTTAACATCTGGGCCTTGCCACATTTCCTAACACTCCCTAACTTCACTCTAAATCACCCTGCTCCAGTGGTTCTCAGTTCTGGCTTCAAATCACAACTACAAGTGGAACTTATTTAAAAAAAAAAAAAATTAATGCAGGGACTCCACCCCACCTATACATTAAATAAGAATCTCTAAGAGTCAGGCCTGAGCATGTTTTGCTTTGCTTTTTTATTTTGTTTTGTTTTCATCTCTATAGATGATTCACATGTATAATTAGCTTTGAAAAAATAACTTCCCTATTCCCAAGCCATTCAAATAAAGGCTGGTCTTTGGATAAGCCACATGATTTCATCCTTTACATTTGCTATTCCTTCCACTTAGAATACCCTTCCCTTTATATGCTTGTTTAACTGCTTCTTGGTTAAAACTCTTCAGGAACAAACATAATCTTCCCTTAGTCCCCATCCCCTCATCAAGCAGAATCAATAGCTTCTTCTTTAGTATTTTGTTCATATTCAAGAAGCTCTCTCATAGATGTATTCTCAACACATAGGCAAGCAATGAATTGAAAAAGTTGGTTAAACATTGAATTGCATACTTTATAAGGGTAAACTTTATGGTATGTAAATTATATCTAAATAAAGCTTTTTTAAATGAAAAGTAAAAGGGTTGTTTAAACCAGAGGATCATGTAAAAGTATAACATAAATACCTTAAACTTTTTATTTTAATCTAAAACAACTATATGCTCATTTGTTGAGAAGGTCCAAGGCCTTTTATTTGTACATGGTCTACTGATTGGAGTTCTGCATTGTATCTGTAGCATGAACCATACCTCTAAACCATCTGCTAAGATTTCCCAAGATTTCATTCTTTTAAGAGGAAAATAATTTAAAGGCACTCGTGAAGCAATCTGAATACAGATATATTCTTTATAATCTTTTTAAGTTATCTCACGTACCTCTTTAATTGAGTCTTTCTAAAATATTAAACATAGATTTTTGAAGAAACAAACTTTATTTCCATGGTATTTCATTGGTTTATGTAATACTTAAATTATGAAAGCACAATATTAAGTACAACTGGCATAAACAGGTTTAAGAACAAACACAAGAAACTCACTGTAAGATTATACAGTTCAACTGGAGAGCAGATATGGGAAAATTTACTAGAGAGCAGTTTCCTAGCCATGGGCATTCAGTATGATATGGGAATTAGCCACTTATGATTTACAAAGGAAATACAGTAAGTCAATTGGTTAGAGGTTAAATATAGACGAGCTAAGAAAGCATCTACTGTACTTCTCCTTTTGAATTATTTGACTATGTGTCTTTCTCCCTCATGGAGATTTAGAGCATTTTGAGGGCAGAGATAGTGCCCTACCTTTAAAGGGAAGCACTGGGGAAATCCCCAAACATTCTTACAATAGCATGTAAATCTTCTCATCACTTTAAAAAGCATAACTTTAAAAACTGTGAACAGTTGTGTTTAAGCCATTTACACTAAAGTTTATGGGTCTTTCCAGAAATGGCCATGTAACAGGTGCAAATTTCCTTGTTAAAAACTTCTGTTAGTTTCCTATGGCTGCCATAACAAATTACAACTGAGAGACTTAACAAAAACTTGTTTTCTCCCAGTTATGGGTGCCAGATTATGTAATTGAGGTGTTGACAGGACCTTGCACCTTTAGATGGTTCCTCTGCCTCTTCCAGCTTCTGGGGGCTCTGGGCATTTCTTGGCTAGAGCCTACATCACTTGGGCTCCATACCTACATCTTCACATGGTCTTCTTCCCTGTGTGTCTGTGTCTCAAATATCCCTCTGCCTTTCTCTTACAAGGACACCTGTGTGGAAATAAATGAAGACCAATCAAATGAGAACAAGCAAAGGCTATTTATTCAGAGCTTACAAGAAAGTCAGCCACCATCTCTTGCATTTTGGCAGAGTCAAATGCAGGCAAAGGAGTGGGTATGCCCAGATTACAGGCTGTTGGCATGGGGAAGCTGCAGGCAGTCTAACTAGAAGTGGGGCATTCTATGTAATTAGTTAGGGGTGCACATTTGGCTCTTTCTTATTGGTCTCAAGTTGGAAGGGGGGACCGAAATTAGGGAACCTGTCGGTTATTAATCAAGCATTGGCCATTTGGACTCAGTGGTTATAGTTTTGCTTCCTGTATTGTTATTGGAGATAGTGGTCTAACTTTCTGATTTATACATAACAGGCTGGCTTCCTGGATGGGTTACTGTAGGTAATAGGTTGGTTTTCTGGGTTGGATGCTGCAGGGTGTGGGGCAGAGTTCTATTTTCATATGTGTTCTGGCCATTGTCTATTTGCATAATCAATCTCTCATTTGTCATTGAATTTAGGTCCCACCCTAAATCTAGGATGATCTCATCTAAAAATCTTTAACCCAATTACATCAGCAAAGACCCTTTTTCCAAATAAAGTCATATTTACAGGTTCTAGGGGTTAGCAAATGGACATATCTTTTGGGGGCCATGATTTAACCTATTACAAAGCTCCTCTTGGGTTAGAACTAATGCTTTCTTGTTGAGAGAAATAAAAAAAAAGACCTTATCCTATAGTGTCCTGAATCTTATAAGCAAATAGGTTATAAATATATTCATCAGAGCTCTATAAGTTCTGATCCAGAGGCAGAAACTTTTTGAAACAGTTGCTTGGGCATTCTTGAAAGCTTAGATTTGAGCTGCAGACCAACTCCTTTATGTCTATCCTCCAAAATAAGAGATGTTTTGGTAGTTCAGCACTGTCTGTACATTCAGAGAAGTCCCTCCTTTGGTAGTAAGCTAGAAGCAATGTGGATAATGTATGAATTTGCCTATGTTATCTTGTTTAGGAAGGTAAGGAATAGTACAAACCTTCTGGTTTCTTTTTCAATGTCCTGAAAATTTAATCCCATTGCCTATCCGAAGAAGGAAGTAATCCCTTGTTTCAGAAGATTCTAAGACACTGGTATATAATAGGTATATGATACATTTTAACTAGTCAATTAATTGATTCTTTTTGATGACTATTCTAATTTTTCTTAAAGACATATGGTTGAAAGGACAATCTTGTCTTTAAAGTCTGTTTGCTTGATTTATGGAATTCTAATGAATTATCAGTAGATGGCAGTAGATTGTTTTCATTTTTCTTTTCATTCCATGACAGAAATATGGAAAAAAACTAAAAATTTCCCAATTTTAAAGCATTAATTTCATGAATAGTTCGCTTAAACATCACCTGAGTTCTTTAATTTATGTTGATTTAGAAATGAAGAAGTACCAGTTACTTTATTTTTCATTGTATTACAAATTTAATTTTCTTTATTCTTTAGGATACTTCATCAAATATTTTAGGGAATAGTAAAAGTGAATAAGACACTGTATTTGCATTCCTGAAGCTGATAGTTTAATGGGTAAAGATACTATAAAATAATGAAAATAATAAAACTAAAAATTTGTTGATCATTTACTTTGTGACAGGTATTTGCTAAATGCTCTACATGCATTATTTCATTTAGTCTTCACAGTAACCTTAATTAGGCAGGTACTAGTATGGTTCCCATTTTACAAATAATAAATCTGAGGCCCAAGTTAAAAATAATTTACCTAATAATCTGATAAGTGGCAAAACCCGGATTCAAAACTAGCTCTGTCTTACTCTAGGACATACACTGTTATCTATCATGGTATAATAGAGATATAGAAATAATTGTTCTAAAAATAGATCACATTTGCCCAGAAAGATCAAGAAAGACTTCTCAAAGAAGATATCATCTAAAATGGAGTTGAAAAATTGGCTGTGATGTTGACATGATCAGAACAGTGCTTTGGGAGCATTATTCTGTCAGAAGAGGGTGAATTGGAGTGAATAGACTAAAGTTAGACACTTATTTATCTTCCAGCCACTTTTGTCATCATGGAGCTTACATTAGTAGAAGGATATAGAAAAGAAACAAGTGTATAAGATTTCAGTGGTGATAGTTGCTGTTAAGAAAATTGAGGCAGAGCAAGAAAATGGAAGGTGAAAGAGGACAGGTCATGTTTTAGAAAGGGTTATCAAAGAAGGCTTCTCTGCTAAGATAGTATTTGGAATTGATAAGGAGCAACTAGATTCCAATATAATTTAAAGGTAGAGCCAATGGGTTTTGCCAAAAGAGCTTCATACAGCATGTAATGAAAGAAAAGAGTCAAGGTTCTGGTTTGTCCCTTGGGTAGGCTAATTGGGGCAGCAGCCTTGGGTTGCCTACATGTGGGATGTCCTTAGGATTTCCCAAAGAGCCTATGAAATACCAACAATAATATTTCCTTTATGATTATCTTGGGCAAGTCTGGTTGAATTTCTCTGGGCTTTACACCCTTGGAGAGACATCCTTGCTAATGAATCTAAGATTTTTGGCCTGAACAACAAGAAAAATGAACTTGTAATTTACTGAAATAGAGAAGACTAGGATGAATCAGGTTTAGTGGCAGTGATGGAATGGACAGAGGAATCTAGAGTTCAGTTTGGAATATATTAGATTGAAATGCCTATTAGAAATACAAGTGGAGAGATCAGGTAGGCAATTTGATATGAATCTATAGTTCAAAAGGATGTTTGGGGTAGAGATATAAATTTGGGAGTTGTCAGCCTGTAAGTAGATTTTAAAGCCATAGAACTAGATGGTATCATATGTAGAATGAGTGTGAGAAAAGAAGGAAGCCTGAGGGCTGAATACTAGGACACTCTATTTTCTTAATAAGTAAGAAAGATAAGGAGGAACCAGCAATGGAAACAAAGAAGTATGGTATTTCAATAAGGTTGGTAATTATCAAATGTGTCAAGTGATACCAATAGGTCAAGTAAAATGACTGAACTTGTCCATTGAATGTGGTAACATGGAGGTCGTAGATACTCTCATAAGAGCTTTAAAGGTAGAGTGGTAGATGATTGGTTCTAGTGGGTTCAAGAATGAGAGGAAGGGAAATGGAGAGCAAGGATTTTGGCTTTAAAGGGGAATAAAGAAATGAGTCAATAGCCGAAGGAGGTTACAGTGTCAAGCAAGGATGGTGGTGGTGGTGTTTGTTGATATATGATGAACCATTCAGGATAATACATTTGACCAAGTAAAGAGGGAAATTTCATTGAGGGACCATTTAAAGAAGTAATGTCTTTGAGTAGGTAAGAAAGGAGTACAAAAATGGAAGGTTGGCCTTAGATAGGAGGAAGGATACTGTATTCTTTTCAAGAAACAGGTAGACTAGTATATGAGTATAGGTGCAAAGGACGGGTAGATGGATAATTTACCAACCCCTCTGATGTTTTTCCTATGTCAGTTAAATAAAAAAGTAAGTTATCGACTGAAAGGAAGGTAAAAGAGATGTGGGAGATTTACAGACAGAGGAGAAGGAGAGAAACAATCATCTATAAAACTTGGTGACTCCTGAGAGCCCACTTGACATAAATGGTCTTGAATTTAAAGTGAGACCACAGTGCAGTTGTGTGTCTTTCTTTAAGCATATTTAGCTACTCGAGTGTAAGCAAAGTAACTGGTTGGGGTTTTTCCAGGGAAGTAGGACAGGGAGTGAGTTGTAAGGGAAACGAGGGTTAATACAAAGGAATCTTAGCCAGGCAGAGAGGGAAGAATACATGAGAGGCTGAGGGATCTAGAAAACAAAAAGGTAGTTTGGATCTGTGATTGTGTATGAGGTACAGTTATATTCTGTGAGTGGCTGGAAAGGATGGATGAGAGAAGACATCAAAGAATAAGAGGAGTAGTGAGAGAGAAACAGTAAGTCAGATGTTGTATTCTAGGAGTGAGGAGGGGAGATCTGGAAATCAGTTGATAACAAGAAGGAAAAGTAAAGCTTTTATAGTCTATAGCATGAACTTTAAAGAAACCAGAGAGGGTTTTAGAGAGAAAAGGATGATGGTTTGGCAGTGGTAATGGGGAACAGGAAAAATGCCTCACCTCCAGACTTAGTGGCTTGAGGATGTGGAAGCAGTACCTTTGGATTTCAGTTAAATCCAAAACATGAAGGCAAAGTTCACTGAAGAGATTGAGGATAGGACTTTACTGAAGATATGAGTTTCAGAGGTCATAGTGGAAAGATACAAAATGTTTGGGAATGGGTAACAGCATCAAAATTAAGGGACTTACCAAGTCAAATCAGGGTGAGTCTTCATGAGGAGGGATGACCAAGGAGTCTTAGACTTCTCCTGAAGACTGAGGTTAATAGAGATACATAATTTAGTGGGAATAGTGCCCACAGTGTCTTAGGCATATTGTGGAAATGGCACAGTGATTCGGGGGAGAGAGAAATGGGGACTGACGACAAAGGTAACTTATTTAGCAAGAGCTTACTGCTAGGTAAAAGCATGAAGAACTCATTGGGTTACCTCTTCAGTTATGCATATTGTGGTGTTAGGCCATTGGAGGTCTGAAAACTGCAGCAGTTCTGTCAATCCACTTTACTGAAATAGTTCCTGAAAGAAGAAATGTGGTTAGTAGTAATGGGAATAAAAAGGAGGAAGTTGATTGAAGTGACATTTTAGCAACACAGGAATACAAAATACAGTTGACCTTGAACAACATGGCTTTGAATTGTGTGGGGCCACGTATATGAGGATGTTTTTGACCAAATTCAGGTCAGAAATGTAATCTTTGAGGGATTTGAAACCCAAGTATAGGGAGAGCCTATTTTTCGTATAAGTGGGTTCCAAAGGGCTGACTGTGGAACTTGAGTACCCAAGGATTTTGGTTTGGTGTCCTGGAACCAATCTCCTGGTATATACCTGGGGACGCTGTCATTTGATTCTGGAGTGATATGTAAAGACATGGGTTTTTCCTTAAAAAATTTATAATCTTGGTAGTCTAGCATGGTCTGACATTAAGAGCGTGAACTTTGGAGACAAAATACCTGAATTGAGATCACATCTCTGACACCTAATAGCTGTCTGACTTTAGATAAATTCTTTGATCTATTTGTGCCTCACTGTACTTTTCTATAAAATGAAAATAATAATATCTGCTTCATAGAGTTAAATGAGTTAATGTTTGTAAAGTTCTTAGAATGCTGTTTGACACAGATTAAACACTACATAATTTTTTTTTTAATCTGAAGCACTTAGAACAGTGTCTAACACAAAGTAAGCAGGATACAAGTATTGACCATTGTTATTAATTGACAAAGTATAAATGTAGAGGTAAGTAGAATTAAGGGCATGAATGTAGAGGTAAGTAGAATTAAGGATGAAGTCTGTGACTGTGAAACCCAAACAAAAGAGCTGGAAAGAAAATCAGATTTGGATTAATTAGGACTAATTTGGGACAGTTCTTTCTGTATGTTAAGCAGAAAGGACACAGTATGAACAGAGTGAATGGTCTCAGAATCAGGAAAGACTTCATGAAGGAGGTAAGTTTAAAGTGAGATTTGAAGAAAATGACATGAAGTGACAGAAGAGAATCATAAATTCTCAGAGACGATAATGACAATCTGCTAGTTAAGCTGTCAGGATTTCTTTAGCTTTGTAGAATATTTCTAGATAGATTTGAATCTGCTTACTTAGTAAGCAGTTTAGCTTTGTTTTTATTTATATATCAGGTTTCAATTCTTTCAGTTTTGTTTTTTGAGAATACATGTAACTAATACATGAGCATTTTGTATTTAACCACTTCAGCACAGCGCTCACTGGCCACAAAACCTTGCCCCCATCCGGCACTCATAGTCCGCACAGTTTTGAAGGTCATACACTGTCTCTAGTTTTAGTGCATGGAAAATATTTCAAAAGCATTTAACCACTTCGATACGGCGCTCACTGGCCACAAAACCTTGCCTACAGCTGGCACTAATAGTCCACACAATAGTTTGTGCTGAGCATTGACGACGAATCCATTTTGCTATTGTGTGATGAGGAAAGCTTTAAAGCACTGAAAGCTTGTTTTACTTTACAGGCAGCTTTATTTGTAACGTAAATCAGAATAGGTAACATATACATTTATTACGTTATTTTTAAATGTTCACAATTTTATTTTGATAAATGAAAAATTAGAAGTCATATCACGGCTGTCTGCTAAAGTCGATGCTCAGCTGTGCACCTTCATATCATGACTGTCGGCTAAAGTCACTGTACTTGTTCGTCTGTGGCTATGGACTATAGTAGACGCTCAGCTGTGCGCATTCATCTGTCGCTATCGACTATAGTCAATGTTCGTACCGAAGTGGTTAATCTTTAGGAAAGATATTTAGTGATGTAAGGAGAAAAACTCCTTCATCTCATCAGTTACTCTTAAATAGAGAGTAGACTAAAATATGATTGTAAACCTGCTAGGGGTTACCCTGGACAAAATAACACTGGACAGGAGTACTGTATTCCCTACATTCCATACTCATGGCAGAAGTTGCTAATCATTCTTGCCACTGTTTCTCCCAGATTCTGGTTCTAGTTTCAGAGTCTATTTCATCATACTATCAGAGGCACCTGCTACTAATCTGTAATAATTACTTAGTATATGTCTGATATTGTGCTAAGCATGTTACATACGTTACTTATAATAGCCCTATGATGTTTTACAGATAAGAAGACTGAAGATCAAAGGAGTTAGGAAACTTACCCAAGGTCATAACAGCTGAAAAGCAGGAAAACCAAGATTCCCATTGACATGTTTGACAATTAATTTAACTTTCAGGATCACTAGAACACAACAGGAAAAAACAAAAGTGAAAGATTATCAATATAGATTATTGTGTAGGTGTAAAGAAGGTAACTGAAAAAGGAGCAAAGAGGAGTTTACAGATGTGGAGAATGTCAGACAACATAGCAAGGAAGACTCAGGGACTTCCCAAAAAAGGTAATGAAACAATCTCAAGAAAAAAATAATTAAAAGATCAGCAATAACAAAAAGCATGATAGGTTAATTATGTTAAAATTGATAGCAAATTAGAATAGAGGAAAGCAGTTAAATTTTGCCAGAAAGAAACATATACAGTGTTTAGAAAAAAGTGTAACAGCCTGAAAATACAAGCCTATGATGCAAATTTATCAACTATAATTACTCTAGAGTTGTTACGGTAGCAGTGTAATTATAGTATGTGTGCAACTGGTCTGGGAAAAAATTAGAACAATCAAAATATTTATACATTAAAGGAATAGGTATAACATTGCAACAGGCAACTTTGAATTGCCTATTATTATTGACTTTGATTTTGATTTTGTTTATAATCAGAAAGGGAAAATTACCAATCATAAATTTAGATTTAGTTTATTTATAAGAAAAAAGCATCACATTTTTCATGATTTTGAGTAATGAAATATAGCTTTCTTAAAATATTTGCATTTTAATTTTTATTACATACTTTATTCTTTTGTCTAGTTATAGGTAACCAAGACACATCTTCATTAACAGACGCTGTAGAACAAGTTGCAAAGCAACAACAATCACAAGCTTCAGAAATAGAAAAAAACAAAAAAGTTCTTTTCCAAATTGAGGTAACCTATTTTATACAGTTTTTAAATATCTTTACTTCCTTCAAAAATATACTAAATTAGTGACCAGGAAATTATTAAGAATACTTAATATTGGGAGTCAACATTAAATTTACTCTATCTCACTTATTCTGTTATCCCTAATTAATGTCCATAAGCATTTCAGTTTTATGGAATAGTTTACCCTCCCAATATATAAAGATTCAACATTGTCATTGTAACTGTAGTATAAGCATATATTAGGTTGGTGCAAAAGTAATTGCAGTTTCAGCTGTGATTTTAAATAATTATAACTAGGCTCAAATGCATCTTTATTTTTTTTTATTTTTTTATTTTTTTTGAGACAGAGTCTCGCTTTCTTGCCTAGGCTAGAGTGAGTGCCGTGGCATCAGCCTAGCTCACAGCAACCTCAAACTCCTGGGCTCAAGCGATCCTCCTGCCTCAGCCTCCCGAGTAGCTGGGATTACAGGCACGAGCCACCATGCCCAGCTGATTTTTATATTATATATATTAGTTGGCCAATTAATTTCTTTCTATTTTTATGGTAGAGACGGGGTATCGCTCAGGCTGGTTTTGAACTCCTGACCTTGAGCAATCCGCCCGCCTTGGCCTCCCAGAGTGCTAGGATTACAGGCTTGAGCCACCTCGCCCAGCTTAAATGCATCTTTATTAATCAAAATAGGAACCATTACAATCAATACATTTTTTGCCAATGAGAAATAAGTTTGTTTATTCCTGTAGCATAAAAATCTGTGCTTTGGGATTCAATGAATTCTTAGCATTTTCTGCATCCTGCTGGTTGTGGAAACATTTTCTCTGCAAAAAGTTGTTGAGATGCTTGAAGAAGTGTTAGTTGGTTGGAGAGAGGTCAGGGGAATATGGCAGATGAAGCAAAACTTCGTAGGCCCAATTTTGTTCAACTTTTGAAGCCTTGTTTGTGCAATGTGTGGTCAGGCATTGTCATGGAGAAGAATTGAGCTCTTTCTGTTGACCAATGCCAGCTACAGGCATTGCAGTGTTCAGTGCATCTCATCAAATTGCTGAGCATACTTCTCAGATGTAATGGTTCAGAAGGAAGTAGTGGATCAGACCAGCAGCAAACCACCAATCAGTGACCATGAGCTTTTTCTGGTTCAAATTTAGCTTTGGGAAGTGCTTTGGAGCTGCTTCATTGCTGGTTGTCATATAAAATCCACTTTTCATTGCATGTCATAATCCAATGGAGAAATGGTTCATTGTTGCATACAATAAGAGAAGACAATACTTCAAAATGACCTTTTTTTTTATTTTTGGTCAGTTCATGAGGCACTCACTTCGAGCCTTTTCACCTTTCCAATTTGCTTCAAATCCCTAACAACCAACCATAGAATGGTTGACCTTGAGTTCTTCGGCAACTTCTTGTGTAGTTGTAAGAGGATCAGTTTCGATCATGGCTTTCAATTGGTCTTTGTCAACTTCTGATGGCCGGCCACTGTGCTCCTCGTCTTCAAGCCTCTGTCTCCTTTGCAAAACTTCTTGAACCACCACTGCACTGTATGTTCATTAGCAGTTCCTAGGCAAAATGTGTTGCTGATGTTACGAGTTATTTCATCTGCTTTATGACCCATTTTGAACTCAAAAAAGAAAAACGCTCAAATTTGCTTTTTGTCTAACATCATTTCCATAGTCTAAAATAAATATGAAATACACAGCAAGTAGTAAGTCATTAGCAAAAAAATAAAGTGAGAAATATACATTAAAATTATTTATAACATAACCACATTTATCTAAGAATGTATTCCAGTATCAAACAGCAAATGTCAACAATGCTAAAACTGCCATTAGTTTTGCACTAACCTAAATGTAACCTAACATGTTACATAGAATTATTTTAAATTTACTTATTTGATAGTTTTTCCTAAAGTGCTGCATTGAAGAAAGGTTAAGTTTTAAGCCAGTGTTTTAAATGCTGTGGCTTGTGAGTTATTTGTTGTCATTGAACATTTCAAGTAGCCTCCCTCTATGTTTCTTACCTTTCTTAATATATTCATAATCTCACTACAGGGAATATGGGAGCCATGCTTGGTTTTTGCAAACAGCATATTTAGATATAACTATACTCTGTAAATATGACTAAAGAAATGAAAATGAAAACCATATCTTTTTTTTTCTTTTTTTTTTTATTTTGGCATATTATGGGGGTACAGATTTTAAGGTTTCAATAAATGCCCATTTCCCCCTCTCCCCCCACAAGTCTGAGTCTCCAGCATGACCATCTCCCAGATGGTGCACATCTCACTCATTATATATGTATATACCCTCCCTCCTCCCCCCTGCCCAATTACCCTATTACTGCAGTACCTATGTGACCATTTAGGTGCTGTTCAGTTAATACCAATTTGATGGTGAGTTTATGTGGTACTTGTTTTTCCATTCTTGGGAAACTTCACTTAATAGTATGGGTTCCAGCTCTAACCAGGAAAATATAAGATGTGCTATATCACCATTGTTTCTTAGAGCTGAATAGTACTCCATGGTATACATATACCACTTTTTTATTAATCCATATCTTGGATGATTTGGGCACTTGGGCTGTTTCAGCCTTGAAATTATGAATTGTGCTGCTATAAACATTCGAAGTGCAGGTGTCTTGTTTTGTAGCGTGTCATTGGATCGTTTGGATAGATGCCAGTAATGGGATTTGCTGGATCATGGTAGATTCACTTGTACGCTTAAGATCTCCATATTGCTTTCACAGAGGTTGAACTAATTTGCAGTCCCCACCGCAGTGTACGAGTATAGAATTTTTTTATTTCCATCTTGATTTCTTCATTTATGAAGTAATCATTTAGTAGGAGAGTTTGGTTTAATTTCCATGTTTTTGTGTAGAAAATGTGAGTTTCTGTTACGGTTGATTTTACTTTTTATCCACTGTGATCTGAGGAGATACATGGTAATTGATTTCTATTTTTTTAAATTTCTTGAGGTTACTTTGTGTCCTTAGGATATGGTCAATCTTAGAGATGTCCCGTGAGCTGATGAGAGAACGTATAGTCAGTGGATTTTGGGTAGAATGTTCTGTAAATGTCAGTCGACCCAATTGTTCTAGAGTTTTGTTTAAGTCCATTATTTCTTATTAATTTTCTGTTTGGAGGATCTGTCTCGTGCCGTCGTGTGGGGTGTTGAAATCTCCGTGATTTATGGAGTTGCTATTAAATCCATTTGCTTAGGTCCAGTAAAGTTTGCTTTATGAATCGGGTGCACCTAAGTTGGTGGCATATATATTTAAATTGTTTATCTCTTCTTGTTGAACTGTTGCCCTTCACATTATATAATGATCTCTTTGTCTTTCACTACTTTTGTTGGTTTAAAAACTAAATCATCCTGAAATTAGACTGCCACACCACTTCTTTTGGCTTCCACTTGCTTGGATACTGATCTCCACCTTTTACTATTTGCATCCTTGCAGGTTAGATGTGTTCCTGAAAGACAGCATATACTTAGCCTGTATTTTCTTATCCATCAGCCAGCCTATGTTCTCTGAGTGGAGAGTTTTAAGCCATTCCATTTATTGAGAGAACTGATAGGTAAGGTAGATTACTGTTCATTCTGTTGTTGGATGTTGTGCTTTGATTTCTCTTGAGCCATTTGTATATCTGGCCTTTAATCTTTGGGTTTTGGTTGTTTTTATATTCGTGAGTTTTTATTATGGTTTTCCGTGCGTAACACTGTTTTGAGTACTTCTTGTAGGGCTGGTCTTGTCTTGGTGAATTCTCTGAGACTTTGCTTGTCTGAGAAGTCTTTTTTTATCCTTCATATATGAAGCTTAGTTTTGCAGGAAAAAGATCTAGGGTGGGCATTGTTTTGTTTCAGAAGAAGTGAGAATGGGCCCAGTCTCTCCTTGCTTGTAAAGTCTCATTAGAGAATCTGTGTTATTCGAATTGGCTTTCCTGTATGTTACTTGCTTCTTTTGTCTTAACAGGTCTTAGAAGGGCTCTTTAGTTGATATTTTGGTCAGTCTGATGACTGCATGTCGTGACGTCTTCCTGTTTGCATTGAACTCTCCCAGGTCCTCTGAGCTTCTTGAACTTATAATCCAAGATTTTGAGCAAGGCCTGGAAATTTTCCTCTATTATTATCTTCAAACAGGCTGTCCAACCTTGGGTGTTGTCCTCTTTCCCTTCTGGTAACCTATGACCCTCCACATTAGGTTTCTTCACATAATCCCACAGCTCTTGTAGGCTTTGCTCTTTTCTCTTGTTTCCTGCTCTATCTCTGTGATGGTTTTATTTAGTTGGAGGGTGTTATCTTCAATCTCTGAGATTCTTTCTTCTGTTTGATCTACCCTGTTCTTGAGACTTTCCACTGTATTTTGTAGTTCCCTGAATTGATTCTTCATTGTCAGGAGTTCGGTTAAACTTTCTTCATTGTGTCATTTCTTTTTCCAGATCCTGGAGGCTTTTTGGTTTCTTTGTGTTGTTATTGAGTTTGTGTTGCAGCTCAGGTGAGTGTTCTTATGATCCACATACAAAATTCCTCTTCTGTCATTTGGTTGCCTGATTTGGCTGGTGTCCGTTTCTTTTAGGGGCTGGTGCTCCTCTTTGGGGTGTGTTTTCCGTTTGGTTCTCATTATTTCTGAGTTCTTTCGCTGATTTCTTCCATGTCGATCAGTTGTTGTTTCTTTCCTTTAGGTTATTGTTTGAGTATTCACACACCTTCTTTAGTTTCTGAGGCGTTAGGTGGTGTCTGTGGGTGAGATTGGACCACTCCCTGTATATTGAGTCAGTGGGTGCCGTGGAAAGGCTGTGGCAAGATGTTCGTCCTGTCAGTAGGTGGCGTTTGCTTGGAGGAACAGGCTATGCGTTGATTTTGTGTCTGTTATCAGCTCTTGTTCTGGGCGGAGCTGGGTTGGGTAAGCCTGCCCTCAGGCCGTTAGCAGGGGTCAAAGTTCCATTCTCTGCTTCCAGGAAAAGCTGTCAGGGTGGGGCTGGAATGGTCCTGCTCAGCCAGAAAGTCTGTGGGGG